GACTGCGATCCGACAACGGCGATTTGGGGCAGATCGATCGGATTTTGTACCTAAAGCGAGCGGCGGTGTCAGCACACGTGGTACCAATTGAACTGTGACCTCTGAGCAGGTATACATACACCGACTGTGGAGAAGACATCTTGAAGCTTGTTAACCAGCGAAATCAAGCTGGGATCATTGACATTTATGCTGCACGGAGATTAGCCAGACCGCATCGGAAAGGGACAGGGGGTTTGCGCACGAGTAGCCGGTCGTGGGGCTTGCCATGGTTGGCGATTTTGGGTATGAAATTATTTCTAGGCAAGAAAAATTGAAAAATCAAGAAAAACGAGGCGACAGAGAAGTTGAACAAAGTAGAACCCGGGGAGGTGCACGATGTAAGTGGAGGGACTGTTTGGTTGACCTCGAAGGCGGTGATGCAGTGGCGTCCAGAGCGGTCTCTCGGTCTGCCTACATGTAGGCTGCAATCAAAGTGTTGATGATTCACGATATAGTATATAGGTTGGGTATTCCGAAGAAATAGACTATTTCTACAAGTCAAATAAACCAATAGCTCTGATCTTGGGTCATGTGCGCAAGTCTTGTGCTGCCTGACGCGTACAGGCCACATGTACATCTGGAAGTTATACGTGAAGGCCACCAAAATGGAAAAAGCAACTTGAGTTGGACACAATAACTACAGGGGAATGTGCTCGAACAAACATCTAAAGGAAAATATATGCTAAGGTTAAGATGTCACTTTCACTCGTCCGAGACCGAGGCAAATCGCTCAGTCATAGACTGGAGGATCTTCTCGTACTTGGCCGAGACCGCCGCCTCATCCTCCGGAACCTCGAACTTCATGCTGCGCAGAGCACTCTGGAGATCAGCAGTAGCCTCTCGGACCTTGTTCCAGTTCTGACCCTGTGCAATGGCCTTCTGGGCCTCGTTGTGATAGCCCATAAACGCCTTCATCATGTACTCGGTCTTCCACAAGGGGCAGAACTGATCATAGTCACTGTATCCGTTTTGCTGGAGGAAGTCATCCTTGAGCAAGCTGGCCACGTCCAGTGTGATCTTATCCGAATCACCCAGTGCCGCCTTACCGACCAGCTGGACGACCTGGTCCAGTTCCTCGGACTTGGACAAAAGCTCACGAATCTGGTCGCGCAGGCGAGGGAATTCAGGGTGCTCCTTCTCGTAGTACTTATCCAAAATTGCGTTGTACTTGCTGTAGGAGATAGAAGTGTTGACCGAAGGGAAGTGCTTGCGCTGCGCCAGCTTCTTGTCAAGGCCCCAGAATACCTGGACAATACCCAGGGTACTGCTGGTGACGGGATCAGAGAAATCACCACCGGGCGGGCTGACAGCACCGACGATGCTGACACTGCCCACACGCTCGGGGCTGCCCAAAGCACTGCTCTTGCCAGCACGCTCGTAGAAAGAGGCCAGCTTGGCTCCCAGGTACGCGGGGAAACCCTGGTCAGCAGGCATCTCACCCAGACGACCCGAGATTTCACGCAGAGCCTCAGCCCAACGGGAACTGGAGTCCGCCATCATAGCCACATTTTTGCCCTGGTCACGGAAGTATTCGGCGATAGTGATACCGGTATAAATAGAGGCCTCACGGGCGGCGACAGGCATGTTGGAGGTGTTGGCGATCAGGCAGGTACGCTTCATGATAGGCTCCTTGCGGCCTTCGACGGTAATAGAGAGCTGCAGAAAGAGTCAGTCAGGAAAACGTTATCGGAGTAAGTCTGGGGAGGGCACGTACTTCGGGGAAATCCATCAAGACTTCGGCCATCTCGTTACCACGTTCACCGCAGCCAACGTAGACGATAATATCACTGTTCGAGAACTTGGATACACTCTGGGAGATGACAGTCTTTCCACATCCGAAGGCACCAGGAATGCAGACAGTACCACCCTGGACACTGGGGAATAGAGCATCCAACACTCTCTGGCCGACAATGAAGGGCGCATCGGCGGACAGCCTGTCGGTAACCGGGCGGGGAACACGGACGGGCCAGGTCTGCATCATACCATACTCAGTCTTCTTACCATCAAACTCCACCTCGAGCAGCTTCTCTTCGACAGTATAGCTGCCGGCAGGAGCAATCCGAGTAATGGTACCCCGTGCGCGAGGAGGCAGCAGGATCTTGTGGTCGTTGACCAGACTGTTCTCGAACACAGTACCCCAGATGTCACCACCAGTGATGTGGTCGCCGACCTTGAAGGTAGTAGGCTTGTATTCCCACTTGCGCTCGCGGTCCAAAGCATTCACCGAAATACCACGGGGAATGTAGATACTCTTCGATTGGTCCGCGATGGCTTTGAGGGGTCGCTGAATACCGTCGTAGATTGTCTCCATTAGACCGGGGCCAAGCTCGACTGAAAGGGGCTTTCCTGTCCTCGTCACCGGGTCTCCGACAGTCAAACCAGCTGTTATTCAAAGGTCAAATCGGTCAGCATAGCTCTTTGGGGGATGTGATGCAATGATGCGGGTTTTGGGGGGCCTGAGGAGCTCTACCTGTTTCCTCGTAGACCTGAATCGTGGCCTTGTCTTGATCGATACGAATGACCTCACCGACAAGCGAGTCGTTACCGACAAGACACTATGCGGTCAGTACCTAGGGTTCTCCACGATGTCGGAGCTGGGGCTGCCTACCAACTCGTACATAGCACAACCGATCATGTTCTCGGCCACGACGACGGGGCCGGAGACTGAAAAGATCGAGCCATGTTTCTCAGAATCCTGTGAAGTCATAATGGAAGAAGCCTGTGTGGAATGGGAAGACACAGAGCGGGTGAAGGTAGTTGAGGAGGGCGAGTCTGGAAGCGGTGGCAGCTCGGCGGGCGGTGATGGCTGTGTCAACGTATGCTTTGCGGTTACCAGGTCCAACAGTGATGCCCGCGCTTTCAATCGAGGACGTCCCAAGCCTAGCATTCGCTTTGGACAGCAGTCAAAGATGTTGGAAATTGAATCTCAATTGTCAGATTCCCGGTCGTGGAGTCCCCCTGATACATTCGTCCAATCCTCGGCCTCTTCCCCGCGGACCGAATTGTGGCCATGCAAGCCGATCGTTCAGCTTGGCTTGTACTACTGGTGGCTTTTTTCCCTTTTCACCATACGGTCTTACAATGGTGGAAGTTCTCCTACTTGGTTTTCCCCCATCTATGGCGTTTGAGAATTACTCAAATCACTGAACATCTAGTTTATTTTACAAGTTTGATGAGCTCTACTGCATCTACTATGCTCCACAGTGACCTTTGAACAGCCATGAAAATCAATGCAATAATGCTTGCATTGCAGAAAACCATTTGAGAAACAAAGCTGACCATCTAGAATAACCCATGATACATCGTACCCATCGCCGGCGATGATATCTATCTCGGTCGCAAAAAGGGTCAATAGCTGTCTTCAAGTTCCTCGATGGCCCCATACACCATTTGGATGAGATTCCGGAACTCGACCGCAAGATGCTCGGCATGTTGACTGATCAATGACCAGGGCGAAGTGCAGGGGAAAAAGACCCGCAGCTTGATCCTGCAACCATCCCCAGTATCCATGAATTCGTTCATGATATAGAAGAACTTGCTCCCGCTGTCAAGTTTCGCGACCAAGTTCTCCACCATTTCGTACTCATCATCTCGCTGCTTCGCCATCCACTTTGGAATCTCTCCGCTGTTCATGAGATCAACAAAGCGAACCTTGGCCATGTGCCCCCCGATGAGCTCCACCGCGCAGTCTGGCCCACTTCTGGCGGGAGCTCCTGGCGAATGCATAACCACGTAGTTCTCTGGGTGCGTTGGGAATATGAACATTCGTGCCATCTCGTCGAGGGGCTTGGAGAGCTGCCAGCGGTTGCAGATTGTTCTCAGCTCTGTCGCCGAGACCCCGGACACTTTCATAAACGTTCTGCATTCTCGGAATTCCCCTTGAGAGGCTCGAATCAGCGATTCAAAATAGCGGGTTCCTTCCTCGATTTGGTCCTTCAGAAGATCCAGCATCGGCGCTTGGAACAATAAGCTTCGTAGGTTGTCGAGAGCGCGATAGCAGGCTTCAAGTTCGAAGTTATCGACATCAGCACTGGATTTAGATACCCCATTCAGCTTGAACTTGATGGTTGGCCCTGGTTCCATGGTGTTGGTATTCTCTGGCGAAGGGGTCTGGAATTTGTGTGGAAAGCGTTATCTACGGGTGAAAGCCGCGGCCTTTATAGTTCAACCTAAACACTAACCCTGTCCCTCACTAAGTCATTTGGAGGGCCAATATAGCCTGAAAGGATCAAAAGGTGTCGGGCAACTAGAAAGACAAAGGCAGGATCAAAGGGAGCATACAAAGTCATTAGCAGAAATCTCAACAAAGGCTGGCAAAGTCTAATCCAACCTAAGACGGTATCGCCTAGATGTCAAAGGCATATGTGAAGAGTTGAAACCATGTAGCACATCCTAGCCCCTGCAGAATAGGCCAAAGAATAATAGAGCCTGGCCAGGTGCATATGATGGGATAGATAATATCTCAAAGTGTCAAAGAGGTGTCAAAGACTCAACATGCGAGCACTTATGATTAATGTCCAATCAAAAATTTACACCTGGAATCTCCAGAAACGCCTTTCCACCTGTAAGTTCGGACGTCGAACCACCGCAGCACTTGCTAACGTGATGAATCGCCTCAATTGCAAAAGCCAAGGTATCTGCTTATGGCGTAGGTGGAGGATATATTCTTGTCCGTTTCTTGTCTCAGTAAATCCTGTCCTGTGTCGCTTTGCCTTCGTCCCCGTTCAACTTCCTATCAATTGGAGCCGGTATCGCATCCATATGTAGTTAACACGCCACCCGTTTCACTATAGATGTTTTATCGCTCTTTTTTGGCATTAGCTCGCTGCAACGGACTATTTCCTACGGGAAGAGTCACTGGATAGCTCTGATTCTGATGACGAGTAGATCCAGCGCACTTGAAGAACTGTGGTTTTGGATGCACGGGAGCGCCAGTGCATTCTCTCCATCATAAATAACGATCACAATGTCATATCCATCTGTTGAGAACCAGTCCCTCCAAGCCACTGCTCGACATCATCATTCATGTTCGCTGTGAATATGGGCCATGTCATTCCTTCTATTGTAGATCCCAGGACCATATTGGGAAGGTCGTAGTTCGAAGTGAAGTCTGGGTAGCCTACCAGTTGTTAGTAACTCATTCACTTGGCCGAAATCACGGAAAAATGCTCACCTGGAAAGTAAGAGACGGCTGTGGCCGGAACAGCAGAGGGCGATACATCCTCGGATGTGTGGAGATCAGGCCTTAGCCGAGAGTTATCTAGAATATAATTAAGGGCGGCGACGGCTTTTCGAGCCTCTCTTGAATTAGCAGATTGCCGACTCCAGATAGTCTGGGATGTTCTTAAGAGATCTCTGATCCGGTCCATGTCCACCAGCTCAACTTCAGGGTCTCTTAAACTGCCAACGTGTGTATCCTTTTCCCTATTATGGGTTTGAACATAGAAGCAAAGCACACTTGTGGCCAGAAGGAAGTCGTTTATGAAAGCAGAAGAAACTCTCCAGCGGCTCTGGTATAATAGACCCTCTTCCTGGGTCTCTTCGTCAACGAGACGCTGCAATTCTAAAATCTGCATCGCAGCATCCAAGCATGCGGACCGTGAGCGGTCATATTGCCGGTGGAGGCAGGAGGGCTGTAAGAACTTCCTGTGCAAGACAATCTTCAGTTGCTGGATGCTCACTTCCAGCCAGATCCGTTGAATCATGATCTGGGATGGGACATTAAGCGACGATGCGAGGCCAGTCCACTTCAAACTAGATGGGAGCGTGTTCCCAGCCTCGTTAATTTGCTGGTCAAGCATCAGGATCTCAGCGTATGAACGTGGCTGGGGCTCTGTGGACACATCGGCGACCTTGGCTCCTACTGAGAGGAGCCGGAGCTTGGCCAGGACATAAAGAGTAGGTGTCACCTCAGTTTCGGGCTTTGAATTGGGCAACGTGGGAGTAGCCTCATCGAAGTCTGAATCATTCAGGTTCCGTGGCTCGGCAGTATCAGTGTCACTTTTTTTAATCAGCCTAGGAAGCCCCAACTGCGTCGAGACGCTAAAGTCTAACTGGACGATCATCGCCCACACACGCCTCCGCATCTCACCGGGAAAGGGAGGGATGGATGGGAAATGTTTCGCATCGCGGTGATAGCCCATGTGTATGGCAATCTGTACTATGTTTCCCACCAGGACCCAGATACCAATCTCCATGTCTTTGAGGTGGAAGTTCTCGATCAGGAAGTACAGAATCAGGGTCTCCAAAACGTACGGTCCACCCTTTGTGTAATGACCCAGGAGGAGACACTGGATGGCGTTCTCCTTGTATGTCTCTACCAACGCTTGACTGTCTCCGACTTGTGATGCCTTCCTTGAGTGTCCGAGTGTAGGAGGGAACCCGGCAGTCCTGGAGAAGGCCTGCTGGAACTGTGTGGACAGGCACATGATACTAAAAAGAATGCCAACCCACAAGATTGGCGCGTCATGCGGTGCCTTCCAGAATTCTTCATACTAGCACACAGGGTTAGCTTGGGTTTAGAGAGTGTGACCAGGTCTGCATGTGGCAGTGGGGAATATTGGATGGAAGGATCAAATCGTACTTACCTCTCGAAGGAATTGGCCACTGTGTACAATGCCTAATACCCACTAGTCAGTTTGAATCCAAATCAGGGTATTTTCGGAAAAGATTGTGTAGTATACCAGGGGCTATGTCGATGATGTTGAAGTAACGAGAAACCAATCTGTCCACAGTAAGACGAGGCGGTAGAGACTTCAGAATCGAGGCAGAGGTCTCATGCATTGTACAGCTGTAGAGCAATTGGGGTTTGGGGAAGCTTGCCGTTGGCCGAACAGGATCCAAACCCCGAGGATGAGCCTCCTCCTCCCGTGACATGTGGTCCCGTAGATCGGTAATACTATCTAGGACGGCAGCCCAATGCGAGCTACTAACATAATTGACACCTGTCTCTGGAGTCCTGAAGCTACCGTAGTCAGATGGGGATGACGAGACATCATGCTGTGTTTCGTACTCCATCACAGTGGCTCGCTCAAAATTCTCGCGTGGATCGGACCAGTCACTCCGGGACCGTTGGTCAGGCGTAACGTGTGGGAGGTCCCCCATTGGTGATTCACCTATGACTTAGTGAGCTTTCTCAGGCCGGATAGATTCGCCGGGGCCAAAGAGGCCATTTGGAGGAGCTGACATCCCACATCCGTGGAAAGTGCAAGAAGACTCTAGACTTTGCTTACGAGGACTTGGCTCAGTCTGATACATGAGTTCCAAAACCAGACCCTCTAGCCGATTAATACGATCCTTCATATTGGTGGCGGGAACCTGAAGGCGGCCTGGCGGGGCTGCTTGTGCAGGTGAAGAGACGTCTGAGGTGATGATGTTGGTATAAACGCAAGAGGAACCAAGCCCCCGACTCGAGCAGTTGCTACATGGCCGTAGACGATCACAACGGACCCTGGAGAGCAGTATCAGATTCTGGGACATTAGACATGGGATGAAAGATCATGGATAATGTAGAGGACTGGACCAGTGTGGCTAGAGGTACGGGAGCTACTCACTTCCGCCAACGACACGAGTTGCAGCTAAGCTGGGGCTTGTGTCGACGCCTGGAAGGTGGAGTTTGAAGCTTTCCAGGTGAGGTGTCGGTGGACGGAGGAGGCATGACGTCCGACATGTATGCAATGGAGTTACTTCCATATGTGAATGGAAGTGTGGATTTTTGGGTTCGTACACTCCTGGGTATATGTGGTAGAAAGCTGAAGTTCGGAGAATGCAAATAGAACTCCGTAGAGTGGGGATCGGTGTCGGCTTGACTGCCCCACCGTTATATCCGGGCGTTTCGGATGGTCACGACCCCGACCATCCGCGGAGGGCCGATTTATGTACATCTGTCTGCAGGCTCAGCCCAAGTTCAATCTAAGCCCAAACATAACATGGCTATCGTCTATAGGGCTCATTCATCTAGGGAGGAAAGAGCTCCAAGACCATAGCTAACAGAATGTAGCCTGATCGAGTTTTCAAATTATCATTTTGTAGGAGGGACGGATGATCGATGGGAACAACATTGAATATCCTGGGGAGGTGTCAATCTTGCCCCTGTATGTTTCTTTTCCTTGTTCTCGGTCGTCGCGGTATGCTCTGGATGTCACCGATCCTCCGCGGGAATGGCTTCCTCTATGCGTTTCGTCTCGTATCGGTCTATTCCCTAGTCAGTCATTCATTTGCATTCAAACCCCATATAATTATCTAATTCTTCCAGCACTGTCGTGGAATCAAAATCACTCTACAACACAAACTTCTACTCCCTCAGAACCCAACAATTTCCTCCTCGGTGACCTGCAACTTTTGCGTTCCCGCGAGACGGAAACAAGTTGCTATTTGACCTTCCTCGAGATGTCGTCAGGCACAGAAGCGAGCGAGCTCAACGTTCTTGTTGAAACGGAGTCAGAAAAAGGCGATGTTGTTGACTGGGAGGGTCCTGACGACCCGGCAAACCCCCGGAACTGGAAGAAGGGACTCAAGCTGCGACATGTCCTCCTTGTCAGCACCTTCACTCTGTACTCGTAAGAGCACCTTCCGCATTACAACATGTTTCACCTTGTGTCCACTGGCCTCGCAGGTATCGATGATTTGACAGAATGAAATAGAAACCTGGCTGCAGTCATGTTCGCTCCCGGGGCTGCAGAGCTTGTCGAGGACTTCCGCGTCACCAGCACTATTGTCGCCTCGTTTACCGTATCCATATACCTTCTGGGTTACGTGTTTGGCCCTTTTCTCCTTTCCTCTATGTCCGAAATATACGGCCGTTTGATCATCTACCATCTCAGTAACGTGGGCTATCTCGCATTCACGATTGGCTGCGCACTAAGCAAAGATACGGCCATGTTTCTGGTATTTCGCTTCATATGTGGCTGTGCCGCCTCCGCTCCGATGGTGGTTGGGGGAGGGACCATTGCAGATGTTTATCAAGCCAGCGAGCGCGGTAAAGCGATGGCTTTATTCGGTCTCGGTCCGCTTCTCGGGCCAGTCATTGGCCCAGTGATAGGAGGCTTCGTTACCGAGTACCTCGGATGGCGGTGGACATTTTGGTTGATCTTAATACTGGTAAAATGGAAAGCCCTGCATCCCTGTCGTCTGATAATGGTCTAATATGAGCATATTTAGGCGGGAGTGATCTCCTTGCTTGCCCTTATCTTAATGCGGGAAACTTTCGAACCCGCTATCCTCGAGCGCAAGGCGGCTGCTATGCGCAAGTCCACCGGCAACAGTCAGCTGCGGGCTCGAACCTACAACAAAGACCGTACACCATCCCAGATCTTGACACGCGCCGCAGTACGACCTCTCAAGATGCTCCTATCACCCATAGTCCTCCCGCTCTCTCTCTACTGCGCCTTCATGTTTGGTCTCATCTACCTCCTTTTCACTACTTTCCCTGCCGTGTTCGAAACAACATACCATTTCGCTACCGACATCTCTGGTCTTGCATATCTAGGTCTCGGCGTGGGTATGATCATTAGCATTGGGCTGTTTGCCGTTCTCAGCGACAAGCTACTCAAGCAGCCCCGCGAGGGAACTCTTGAGCGGCCGGAGCTACGTCTCATTCTTATGATTTGGTCATCGCCCATTGTTCCCATCGGCTTTTTCTGGTACGGATGGAGTGCCGACAAAGTTACTCATTGGATTGTCCCAATCCTGGGCACCATGTTTATTGGTCTTGGTGCCTTTCTGATCCTTATGCCCGCCCAGTTGTACCTTGTTGATGCATTTGGCTCAGAGGCGGCCGCATCCGCCCTAGCTACGAACACTGTTTTGCGTAGTCTCTTCGGTGCTTTGTTACCACTTGCAGGACCGCCCATGTACGAATCTCTGGGACTTGGTTGGGGAAACAGCCTCCTGGCCTTTATCGGCTTAGCATTTGCTCCTCTTCCGTTCCTCTTCTACAAATACGGCGAGACCCTGAGAACCAGATTTCCCATCACTCTCTAAGCACATGGCGAGTTTGCACAGGGGTCTGTCATTTGTGTTTCTTTATTCTTACTTTCGCACTTTTGAGCTAATTGGTTTCTGGGCGGCGTGCCTGGGGTATGCTTCAGGTCAGCTCTGTCTGTTGTTGATAAGAAGAAGGCACACGCGGTTGAGAGGCTGAAGACAACAACAAGCATAAGCATGGTAAGTGCGAATTTCTATCGAGCCAACTCCATATTTTCAGAATAAGCGAGAGAAGGCTTTTGAACTATGAGAAAGCTCAGCAGGACGTAGCGAAAGAATATAGGCCGAAATACGGACGGCTAATGTGCTTCCGCTTTCTACATATGTATGTATTTCGCTTCTGACTTTGCATGGGACATTACGCGGAGTATACGCCTTCATATTCTCTCATTATAAGCTTCACATTTCTAGACACTTCTATTGTTCGATTCTCTTTTGTATTGTCACTGTTTTGTGGAATTTATTAGCATCTGGTCCCTGTTATTCGTTACAGGTCGCCTACATTTCCCCAAGAGACTTGCTAAGGTCCATCGGGTTAATAGAATAAAATATCATCTAGGTACCATCAAGAATCATAGACTAAGCCTTGTAGCAACAACAGATCTTCGTGCTCTTCGCCCTAAGATGACATTGTAGTTAAGGTTGGCATTCAGAGGATCTCCCTTGTCTTCCACTTCATCAAGGATGTTGAATGCTGAGTGGTTCGGCTTTCTAGCCCTGTGGAACAATAAAGAACTCTAGCCAATCTTTTCTTTTTACAAAATGTAATAGCCGATGAACCAATAGGTCCGAGACCAGATCGCAGTAATTCCAGCTAAGGATCATACTAGGACTAGCGTGGGTTATACTGAGTATACAGACTAAAGCCCAGTGTCTCCACTAGCAAATACCAATGAGACTAGATCTCCACGATTCCGTTATGCGTTGGATTCAGATATCGACGATCTGACCACATCCCAAGGTCTCAACCGGCCAGTCGGTCCTACTGGTGGCATGGCATGCATGGCTGGTCCTCTAGATAGATAGATAGATATTTGGATCTGACTTTATGGGCGGGTCCCACTTGCTTCGAAGGATTCTGATCCCAGAAGTTTCCTCTTATTCTACAAACAAAAAAAAATCCTTATCTATAGAACATATATCACGTACCAAAAGTACAGATTTGGGGTCATTTGTTAGGCATCCAAATGATAATAACGTAGCGCTTAAACCACGCCTTGCGAAATGAGCAGCGGGCAGCTGGTGTTCGGTTCTCAGTGTGTAAGCGTTATATTTCTCGATTGGCAAGGTTATTTACAAGGGGAAGCCTAGGTGATATCGCGGTCATTGGTTTTTTTTTTGCACGAGTCAGACAATACAACCTTCCCCTCTCCTTAACCCGATTCGAATAACACTCGAACGTAGCCAAATTTGACACATACAAACTAAATCGAATATACTTCGAGTAGGCCGTCTGAGGCCCTGTGTGGCTTTCTATTGGGAGTTCGCCACAACACACCTAAACGAATCATTTGCTTATTTTTGCTTATACTCTTGGCGAAGGGTCTTCTCACTATCTATGATGCACCTCTAGACGAATAGCCTTGCTGATCGTTCGATTCACTGCCACCTTAGTGGAGTTAAGGACCTTTTTCACGATCCATGACGTGGCTCTAGAAGAATTGTGCGTGCTGATCCTTCGATTCCCTGCCCTCTTAGTGGGCGAAGGGGTTTTCTTATATCGAGGAGATACCGTCAAGATTAGACTGGTGTATTCTATCACCATCGATTATGCACCTCTAGCGGAGTCATCTGTTGGTTCTTGACGGCCCGTCCGTGCAACATGTGGGGTTACCATCGATTGGTAACTAGCATGTCCATAACATTACTCACACCACCTGCGCTATAGGCATACCAAAATAGACAACCTCAGTCTAGCACAGTCCTCACCATTGACCTGAATATCTGAATAGACGCATGCCTGCCACTCCTACTCCCTCGGACCTAGCGCAAAACTGAACTCCTTTAAAACCGGCGAAAGCTTCCACCTTGCAAAGAGCTGCCCATTCTCCACCAAGATCCGCCGTAGCACCTCCCCCCTCTCCACCTCTGCACCCGGCCACACACCCTCCCATATCCTCACATATGGCTCCACGACCCCCAAGACCTCCCTCAGCCACCTCCCTGCCCTCCCCTCCTCAATCCTCCCTGTCCCCACCATCCCCCTCTCCAGTTCCTCCAGAAAAACATCCCTCTCCCGCCCCCCCTCAACCGCAGCCCGGATCACCCCAAGCAACATACGCGACCGCACTGCAAAGTCCAACTCACCCACCTCCGCCTTCACCCCCACCGTCTCCTCCACTGCAACAGCAGCCAAAAACTCCACCTCCCCCTCACTCCCAACCTCTCCCTCCCAACCCCTACACCATGCCTCAGACCCCACCCCACCATCCGGCCACCCACACCACATCACCTCACTCTTCCACACGCTATCCACATCCGGCTTAGTAACCTCCCTCCTCGCCGCACTCGCCTCCCACAGCTGCGCCGAGTACTTTGCTTCCCACGCGTACACATCATACGCTCCCTGCGCGACCAGTATCCCGAAGATGTTCGGCTCCCACACTTCCCGGGAAACCGCCTTGGCTGAGCCAGATCGGCTAGGGGAACCGAGCCCTATGTACTTAAGCCAGAAGCGCGCTTGCGTCTCCGAGTAGGGCGGCACGCTGGGGTGGGCCGTGCGTAGGCGCGCGATGGTCGTCTCGAGCGTGCTGAAGGCTAATCTAGTGAGAGTCGCGAGCGGGAGGGAGGGCTGCCTGCGGCGCGTGCGCGCGACGCTGTGGGCCCAGCGGGGGAGTTTCGTGGCGTGTGCGGGGGTTCGTTGGCGCGGCAGCCCCAGCGGGGAGTCAGAGTCAGGTAGGTCTTGGAGGTTAGGCAGGCGGTAGAAGCGCGCTGTGGTGCGCTGGGTAAGGAAAGCAGTAGAGTAATAAGAGCGCCATGCGGAGGAGTGGAGGAGTGCGTGGTGTGTGGTGTAGAAGGACTGGAAATCATTAGGGGAGGGGAAGTCACCCTCAAGTTGGTCGGTGGAGCGGTAGATGGCCGCTGCGAGCTGGGCGAGGTAGAATATATCCAGGGTGCTGTGATTTATCAGTCTTTGTACTCGTAGTACAGTGCTATTGCCTGGGGGATCATAACCTTGGAACTTACCGATTAAACCTCAACTCGCCCTCGCCGAACGACCATCCACGCGCGTGCAGCTTCTCGACAACATCAAAGACGCCGTTGCCGAGCCACAGCCCCTCGTCCATATAGATGAATGCTATCCGCAGCACTTTCTCGTGGCAGTCCACCGGCACCACGCCGCCTTCGACGTCAGCGAGGAATTCTTTAGCGCTCATGGCGAACTCTCTGATAAGTAAATGATGATGATCGCGGAATATAAATATGAATATCAGATCCTCACTCGGTATGCCAGGGGTCAGGATGTAAGTAATCCGCCAAATCATGACTATGGATAATGTTACGGCTAGCCCTTTTAGGTATATTGTGATTTTCAAATAATAGAATGAGTCGCTTCTGTTACTTTTTCTTACTCTAGCTCATTTGTTTCCGATAAATACATGGAAATGGTCGATAGTCTAGTTAGATAGGGGGGTGTCTTTGAATTTGCTCATATATAATATCCGTCTCTCTTGGCGGGGTTATCTAGATTGGGAACCACATCGTCGGGGAAGGGTCCCTCACCCTGGGCCAGAATGACATAGTCATGGCCGTGCAGGTGGATAGGATGGACCGACCGAGGATGGTTTGAGGGGTGGCAGCATCGCTTAATGTGTAGTTGTTCAGGATGAGGAAGTACACCCAGTTCCCAGTCTGAAAGTTGTAGCGTGACGGGTGACGTCTCGGGTGGAAATTCAGGATTGGCGTCCAAGGTGAGTTTCTTAAGACTGGGATCGGACCAGTCGAGGCATATGCTCCGGTTGGTTAGGAGCAAGGTGTGGATGCGCGAGTTGGGATCCGACACGTTAGGCCACGCCTGCAATCCAATGCGCAGGTAGTCGGGTGTATCGAAGCTGTTCATGTTTTTACCCACCTGCCTCTTCACAATAGGGACGAGACTCTCTGGCGGGGGATCCTGAAAACCGAATCCGTAGTGCTGCTCGCTCACAGGAGGCGTATAGGGATCGCTGGTATTCAGGGCACCGTATCGGATGATGCCGAGTCGGGACTCCCAAGTGCCAATGTCACAGTAGTTGGCGTGCATCCAAAAGTTGGTCCCGTTGGTGAATTCGGCATCCGCTGTGATCAGAATCTCATAGCGTTCTACTGATATTGGTCAGCTTTAAACATAGATATAGCGCCTACGTAACATACCGATGCCAACGATCAAAACATCCGTCTCATACGGTTGGATGGGCACAAAGTCATTCTGGATGACGGTGAATTTATGCCCATCAATCCAAAACTTGTACGTGAGAAGACTACCCGTATTCACCAGACCAAGTCTCTATGTGGTCCCCTTTTTAAGGCGATCTCGTGTCGCTCGTGCTTTCCAGTACATCGGGGGGCCTCGGAAGGATCGCAGTCAAAGACCCCTTTGCCATTCATGACATTAGTCCCTGGGATGGGCGCCTCTGGTGTCAGGATCTCGGTAGGATACAGTGCGAAAGCATCGGCATGGTACCAATCGCTCATGAGAATCGGGCCCTGGTCGACGTCGTAGTCCATACTACTTGGTCCGTTGATTTTTATCGCCCCTGTCTGCTTTAGTATTTACTATTCGCCATCTGGCAAGTGCAGTGCCTTACTATGAACCCCATTCGTGTCTGGAAAATTGCGTTAGTTAACAACCTGGTAGAGGAAACGGTAAGATATCTCTTACACTGGATACTGAAGTGGGAATGATAACACGAGGTGCCATACTGCATAAGTCTGAACTCGTAGACTTGCGACGACCCTGGCTGAAAGAGAGTCAGCACTTTGATTGAGTCACACCTGGAACCATCCAAATAATTTGTCATGGATTGGGGAGTCCGTGCCAGTGCATGGCGGTGCCATTGTCGTTGGTCAAGTTGTTATGGACCGTGATCCCTGGCCCATGTTTAGCTCCATGCAGCAAAAGAGATCGACATACTTACGCAGAGTATCGCCCCAATTGGCCTCAATGGTACGTCCTAGGTATCGCTATCGCCATACGGGAGTTAGCCATTGATAAGAACTGTAAAGAAAAGCTAACATACCATTGACCACCTCCATTGGTCAGGTATCCATCCGGAGCGATGACTTGGTTGGACACGGTAAGCTCGTGCTGTAGAAGCCCAAAATGAGAATCATGGTCATGAGAGGAATTAGGGGCATTACCTCAACTAGTTTACTAGGCGGAATTTTCTTTTCATAGTCGGTATGAATATCGAAGCCAGGGAGCCAGCGACCTCTCGCCTGTGGTGAATGAACACATTCAGTGGGATTTGGCCAGACCGAGACGGGCCACAGGAAGATCCCCAGAGGTAGCAGTCGCCGTATTGACATAATAGAAGTGACTTTTTGGTATCAATGTCCCTATATTAAAAGCCTACTAGATCCAATAGTCTATATAAGAGAAGATATTCAGGGCTCGGGATCCGATTTGATTCATTACCGTCCGTGATAATTTCCTTTCGGAGAACCCTGTAATTGTCGGAGATATGACTAGAGCGTTCGAATATAGACATATGGCCTAGACAAATATTCGGGGCACTCTTTAGAGATGTCTATACAGTTTGTATGGATATTGCAGCCGGGGAGCTGACAATCCCTCGCCTATAGTGTGCAAGTATATTTTGTAAAATTTGTCTAGACCAAAACAGGCTGGGAGACGACCCCAGAGGCATAATGGTCGTAGAATAACGAGAATAGAACTGACTTCGCCATAAAAATAATCCGCGTGTTAATTCAAAGCGCATCAAAACCAGTAGTCTCAGTGAGAGAAGATACCTAGGGCTCGGGGTCCGGTTTTGATTGAACACCGTTCTCGACATTCTCCAGGGCTCCTTTCGGAAAACATGACTAAAGCTATAAAATGCAGACATCTAGCCTAGACGGTCATTACAATCTCTTATTCACTGGGAAAGAAACCGTCAACTCCAGTAACCTTCTTCAATCTAGCCATGTCACAGACATCGACTCGGTTCGAGACGCCCTTCACCCCCGCCGCCCTAGGCAGCGATGTCTCGTTCTGGAAATCCTACATTGCGTCACGTCCCAGCCCGTCGGAAGATTTCTTCCGCCTCATCAATGAATACCATGTGAACCACGGTGATGGTCGTACGGAAGTGGCACACGATGTGGGCACGGGACTAGGAAATATCGCGGCAAGACTGCGCCGTACTATGATCAAGTGGTGGGCTCGGACGTGAACGAGCAGGCCCCGGACGCAGCACCGAAGCTGATCTCGCCGGACCTCCTGAAGAGAATGACCTTTGTCCGAATTCCCGCTGAGGGTCTCGTCACTGCTGGTCTCCCCACGAACTTGCAGCAGACGGACCTACTCGTCGTTAGCGAATGCATGCCCCTCCTCGATACCCCTTACCCCCAGAGGCCTGGAGGCCTTCCACGCCCTGATGCGGCCCGGTAGAACCGTCGCCATCTACTTCTACGGACGCCCTATCTTCCCAGACCCGGTGTGTGACGCAATCTACGATCTCATAGCGCCACGCATCTGCCGATTCCTGTCCCTTCCAAGGCACTCCCAGCGAACCCTTCCACCGACGCGCAGCTGAAGGTCTCGTTAGCTTCTTAGACAACATTGCCCTGCCGGCGGGCGACTGGGAGAATGTGGAGCGCCACAAGTGGAACTGCGACTACCCGCTGCTGTTCAACAGTCCCGAGGGGTTCGACCTTGAATTTCACCCCGTCGATCGCCGCGCAGAGGGCGAAATCACCCACGACGCCGTGGACCGGGAGTTCTAGGCACACGAGTGGGACGCTGACAATGTCAAGGCCTACCTTGACTCGGTGCACCCCCACTACCGGAACCAAGCCGGCGAAAGCTATGCGGAGATTGAGGCGAGGAGCGAGGAGCTTCGGGCAGCGATGGGCGGGAAGCAGAAGGTCACCCTTTCCGTGGTGCTCGTTCTGGGGACCAGGAAATAATACATTGATACGTCGTTGGATTACGCAGAGTCATCTTTCGGTCTTTGTTTTCCTCAATTTGCGGTATCTCCGTACTCATTTTACCAAAAGATACAGTCAGTGTTAGAGAATTAAGCAACTAAATCTACCTAACTAGACTCAGCCAGTTCATCATAATATTCATCGTAAACTCAATCAAAAACACTTCACTCAACTAGCTCAGTTGATTTCTAAGCACTTGAAACAAGAGTTGGTCACCCTGACAGGGGTTGCTCATGGACCATCGGACCCCGGTTGATGAATTTCGAGCAGAGAAGAGAGAAAATGGACGGAGTTAAGTAAATCAAATACCATGGACCTTAATATTAATGAGTTTAGTTGGATTGCTAAGCACTTGACACAGGAATGCACCGTTAACCCAAAATCCGACGATGGTGACAGGGGTTGCGATGATGCTAACGCCGACAAAAGCCGACCCATTCATACACCGTCGAACCCCGACAGATGAACTTCAACCAAAACAGAGGGAAAGAGAAGGAGTTAAGCATTTACAGCCGTAACAACACCAAAATAAATCCCAGAGGGGACTGACCATCCGACGATGGCTTCGTTCGGCTTCAAGTTATCAAGGCGATGCCTCTCCCCCATCTGTGCTGTGGCATTCGAATCAAACCTCGAAGAGCCAGATTAAGTGAATTGAAACTCCAGAGCAGCTCTCAACTATTACAGCAAACTCCACATCCAAACCAACCCAATCCAAGAAAATGCCTCCTCCACCCCCTCCTCCCAAGAGTGACCTGGGCCGCCACCGTCTCCTGGCCCCCTCAGCGTCGGTGCGTGTCAGCCCGCTGTCGCTGGGCGGCATGAGTAAGAACTCTTTTTTTCCTATCAAAAAGCATACTAACAAATTGTTATCCAGGTCTGGGCGACAACTGGAAGGGCATGATGGGTGAATGTACAAAGGAGCAGGCATTCGAGCTCCTGGACGCCTACTACGACCTGGGAGGTAATTTCATCGACACCGCCAACATGTACCAATTTGGACAGAGCGAAGAGTGGATCGGCGAGTGGCTGCAGAAGATAGGCCGACGGTCCGAGATCGTGCTCGCCACCAAGTACACGCTGAGCCCGATCTTCGGCAAGCCCGTGCAGCAGAGCAACTACGGTGGCACGGGCACCAAGAGCATGCGCGTGGCTGTCGACGATAGCCTGAAGCGTCTTCAGGTCGATTATATTGACCTGTACTATGTTCATGCGTGGGACTTTGCCACCTCCATCCCTGAGCTGATGCAATCACTCAATACCCTCGTGCAGCAGGGCAAGGTCCTGTATCTGGGGATCAGCGACACGCCCGCTTGGGTCGTTACCAAGGCTAATGCTTATGCGCGCGAGCATGGTCTCCGTCCGTTCTCGGTCTATCAGGGTCGGTATTCGGCTATGATCCGCGATCTCGAGCGTGATATCATCCCCATGGCTCGGGATGAGGGCATGGCTATTCACCCGTGGGGTGTGCTCGGCAGTGGTAAGTCTTTCTCCACCATGAACATATTATTTTTTTTTATTAATGACTGTAGGATACTTCCGCTCACCCGATGCCGCCCCCAAGGAAGGTGGTCGTCAAACGCCTCATGTCAAGACGGGCCGCGAAGAACAGGTGTCGGCCGCCTTGGATGCTGTCGCCAAGCGCCATCAAGTCCCCATTACGTCCGTTGCGCTCGCCTATGCACTACAGAAGGTAAAAGCACATTGATCTCATGAACTTTTCTTTCACTAACCGGTTCAGGCTCCGTATATCTTCCCCATGGTTGGCGGAAACAAAGTCTCTCATCTCAAGGCCAATGTCGAGGCCTTGAGCCTGGAGCTCACTGCCGAGGATGTGGCAGAGGTTGACAAGGGCTACGACTTTGATCTCGGCTTCCCGCACAGCTTCCTCAACTTGGCTGGCTTTATGCCCCAGGGTCCACAGCACGTGTCCTTCCTCGCGGGCTTGGGTCATTTCGATTATGTCGAGCCTACGACTGCAATCAAGCCTCGGAAGTAGTCGAAGCAGTCACCCATGTCAATGGTAATAGCTCGAGATATACAGACCCGTACATATAGACAAATTCAGGATTCAGGGTCACATTTAGAATCATGACCATGTTAGCTTCTCGCCGCAAGTAGGATATCACAGTACGTTAGATTGCCTAGCTCATGATAATGCAGTATAAAAACCGGCAACAATATTGCCCTACTTCAGCAATCTATAGAAAAACGAGAACCATTCCGGGTAATACATTACGCTTCTAGTAGGGTACTAGACTAGGTTGAAAATGTTACCTACATCGATGTTCCCGCAAGCTCATCGAGCTGCCTTGGCAGAGCACAGACAATTATATATTGTTCTGCGCCAAAACCCACTGGTGGGTCGAGATCCCAAACCCAAACCCAACCCAAAACCCATTTCGACGACTTATTTTCCGTATTAGGAATACCAAGCTACATAATTTGGCATATATAATATCAATAAACTACGGCTTTTATCGCTATTTTAATGTGTCTACTATAATCCTCTAGTAATACAACTGATATATCTCTTTAATAGAGAGTAATAACTATATAAATGGTGAGTTTATATTAGTTATACACTATTTTAATATCATATTGATTTATTTTACAAGTACGATATAATATATGTTGTGGTGTAAGATTGTAGCGATATATATTTAACATATTTAACAAAGTTGGAAGATTCCACTAACTTTATATAAAACTTCCTAAAATGGACGTATAATTCGCTATTATTTACACTTGGTTTGTTAGTCCTCTTCTTTAACTATATTATACCTATAATATTAGTTGAAATTTTATAAAATAAACCTATATTTATTAATTTAATATTATTATAACCTACCTAAGTAAAATTTAAAGTCTAGTGATCTTCTTTAGTGGTGTAAAGAGGAAGTTATAGTAGATAGTGTGTACTATAAGAGAGATATATATTTCTATCCTATACAATTTACTTATATCTTTGTAAAGAAATACTAGTTGTCAGGCTAGTCCTGTTGGTCAGGCGAGTCGAACAGTGGGTGGGAGAAACGTATGGTATTCTTTGTGCAGAGACTAATTCTTGCTAAGTCCAAGTTTCCCAGGGGAGGCACTCTTGTACCTCTTCATCCCTGAATTGTGCCTATCACAACGATGTGTTCAGCTAGCTTCCGAGTCCTCTTTCGGACACTGGCAGTTGTCAGGATGATCACATGGTCAATCCTTGGCAACCCTCAAAGAAGCTCGAGACAAAGAAGTTAAATGTACATCAAAATCTTGGTTCCGCATCCATAGCGCTTTTCCTTTACAGGGTCGAAGAGGTAGGACGTCTATATGTTTGTCAAGTTTAGCTGAAATGTAGGACTATCATCTGAAACCCTCTTATAGGTCAGGGGACATATTCCTCCTTGGAAGCGCAGGAATGAAAGCCTGAGCAAATTACAATCAGGTCGTGGTAGGGAGATTGGCAGGTGAGTGAGCTACCTGGTTCGACCGAGGAGTGCACAAACCAGGGGGGTTTCACTTCCACTCTTTTTTTTCCCTTTTTGGTCCTTGGTCTTTATTTCTGTTTATATTTTGTTTACCTGTCATTTTCCATCATTCTATCTTTTACTTTTATGGGCGTAGTAAGGTTGATAGAAGTTGTAGGATCTGTTGAGGCTCATCTCCCGTTGATGCCTATGGAATCAGGCTCTCTTTGTTTGCTAGCAGACTGAGCGCTTGCTTGCTAGGTTAAATTGATATATCATTTTCCTTCTATCTCACCTCGGTGCATTGTAGCTTGTAGCCTCCAACAGATCGAATGATATAGCTAATGTGTGAGGACCTTGACCATGTCTCTGTTAAGTATGATTAAAACATAAGATCTCCCATGGACCACTTGTAGCGCACTGGTCTATTTATTTGGAACATATGACATTGTATTTTTGACATTCAGAAGATAAATAGAGCCAATGTCTCCCTTACTGTTCATAAGCTGTATAATTCAGCTTCCAGGAAGTTTATATCTATCCATATTGTAGCACTAAACCCCAAATGGCAAGACTAACCAGAAGTAGTAATTATCATCCATGGATACAACCTTGGAAATCCGGGGTCGATAATCTTAGTGGCTGAAGTGGCTTCACATGTCATGATACTCTAACCCCTCTCCACCGGACCGTGGGCCACGGCAACAGGAGCACATGTCACGTTGGATGGCTTGAGACATAAACATGGGATCTTGCCCATCTTGGATAGCAATACAACAATATTCGATACTTTTACTCTCATTCACCACAACCATGGCGTTGAAGAGCTCTAAGAGCGGAAATAGTACCGAGTACCACTACTGGGGTTACTCCTTTCATTGGACCGACCTCCACTCCTCTGCCGATGACCTCAAGTCGTTGATATACAGCTGTGATTCCCTGGCCGACGAATGTGTGGAGCGCTTGAACAAGATTCCATCCGCGGATGACGGCGCCGATAAACGGCCTTTCAAGAAGGATCTCTATGGTTTACTGAGGGACCATGTGGAGGATGACCCAAAACTCAATGAGCTCTGGACCGAGATCAACACAGTTCCGGAGTGGGTTGACTGGGACCAAATCCAACGGGGCCAGGATGTTTTCTTCCGATATGGCCTTCCGATTCTCAATGTTGTGAGTGGCTGATCTATGAAGTATGACTTGGGATGCGAACTAACCCCGTCGACAGCTCAGCTTCGAAAGCTTACTTGGTGGGATGTACGACATCTTTCCCCTTCCTGACAATGACTGTCAAACAGGAACTAATCTTTATCTAGGGGAGCAATGCGAGTTGTCGAAACCCTCTCACGAACAGGCGGATTCGGAGCTAAGGTAGTACGCCGGCGGTTACTCGAGACGCTTCAGCATATACTTCAAGTCAACAGTTCAGCGGAAGGCATGAAGCCAGGCGGAGACGGCCACATTTCATGTGTCCGCGTCCGACTGCTTCATTCGTCTGTCCGTAGGAGGATCCTGAGTTTGGTAGACCAGAACCCTGAATACTACGACGTCAACAAGTACGGAACACCGGTTAATGACCTAGACTGTATTGGCACAATCAACACATTCTGCAGCGCGGTGGTATGGCTCGGCCTTCCACGACAGGGCATCTACCCCAGCCAACAAGAGACCAATGATTATACTGCGCTGTGGAGGCTAGTTGCATACTATATGGGCACACCGACAGATCCCTTTGAGAGCACAGCTAAGGCTCGTGCTATGATGGAGTCGCTTCTGATTTCCGAGATCGATCCCACTGAGACCGGAAAGGTCCTGGCGAAGAATATCATCATTGGCTTGGAGAATACTGCGCCAGCCTTCGCCTCCAAGGAATTCATGGAGGCAATGAGTCGACTCCTGAATGGAGATCAACTGGCTGATGAGCTCGATATCCCTCGGTCTAACCTGTACTATCGGATGTTGATCTGGGGATATTGCTTCTGGGTTATGGCTGTTTCGTATGTAGTACCAAAGATATATTTCTTAGACAGGATTATGATTTCGGTACGTGAAACTACCCAAAATTTTGGCATCTTTTGACAAAGAACTTTACCAGCTCCGTCGAAAGTACTTCTACAAGCTAATCCTCGACGAGAAGATGGGTCTTGGGGAGGAGTCACGCTTCGAATTCAAATACGTGCCTACACTCACTCGCACCACCCATCTAGGCCAGCGAAGAAGCACCAAATTTGAAAGACCTGGCATTGAAAGTCTGGCGCGTCTGGGTCTCGTGGCAGCCTTTACAGCAGTAGTGACTTTGGGTATGGGAATTATGTTTGCGGCAAGGATGATTCCTTCGCAGCTCTTCATGGTTCGAGCATGATGTTCCATGCCTCATTTACATATCTTACTCCAATGATTGTTGTAGCTTTTTGGAAATTTAAATCACAAATTGTATTGAACCAAAGAATTATCACTTCAAAGCTTGTATTATACAACTTCTCTCATGTGACGCCGCCAGCTGACGTTAAGCAATACCCATAAAGACAGCGCTAACAACCAGAAGACAACGAAGGAACAACAGAGCTTCGAGTACTGGTTAGCTCAACCTGAGCATTCATTCAGATAACTGTTGGCTTCCCCAGTCCGGTTCTCAGTCCGTCTTATAAGGCGAGAATGAACTGGAAGGCTACAATATGTGTTGGCAAGTTCTCCGATACCCCAGAGGAGACTGCCATAACAGCAAGTGGTCCCATCTTAGTCAGTTAATGCAATCATCGAAGATATAGCTGGATTCATTGCGTCCATGGGTGGCTTCTATGTACACATGATCAATATAGTTCCGAGACATTTCAATAACCGTCGCGCTTTCCTTGAACCTTAGAACTGCCCTTAGCCTTTTCTAATTCATTCAGCATCCCATCGCCAAAGACAGCAACATCAGTAGTGATGGAAACCATATCGAAGCCCTGCTGTGTGCGACGAAGAGCGTCATCGCCATCGGAGCCTAAAATTTTTATAAAGTTAGACACAGGCACAAGGAAGACGAAAAAGCCAGTTCATACAGAAGATAGCAGCCTTTTTTCCTGCAGATCTAGCAGCGTTTAGAACACGTTGGATGGCAGCCTCGTGCTCCTCGCCCCCGCGGGTGACACGCATCTGCTTAGCAAGGTCGAAGGGTCCTAGACAGGGAAAAGCTTAGCCATTTCCACAAGTCAAAATAGAATTTTCAATCTCACCAATAAACAAAACGTCCAGTCCCTCGACCTTCGCAATCTCCTCTACATTCTCAACACCGGGCCGTGACTCAATCTGCACAATAACCATGACTTCGGCGTGCGTCTTCTCATCGTACTCGGCGGGCTTCACGCCGGGAAATGAATGTGGCGTGAACATTGGCCCGTATCCGCGGACTCCGACAGGAGGGTACTTGCAGTAGCTGACGACCTTGGCAGCATCCTCCTGTTGAAAGCAGAAAAGTAGAGGTTAGCATGTAATATAGTTCGGGAAAGATCAAGCAATTGACGCAAAGACGGCGCGTTCGGGTTGTACACACTGCAGAGTGACACATGGGAGTCATGATTCCGTGGGCACCGGCATCAAGGGCACGCTTGATCATCCACTCCTCGGGCCAGGGTACACGGATAATAGGACTAGCACCCTCGTGGCCGACGGCATTAGTGAGCTGGTTGTAATTGTTAATAATTTTCTCGAGTTCAATTCGCTTGAAGGACAAACCTCGTAATAGTGGCTGTCGTTGATCAATCCATGTTCGGCGTCAACTAGGACCCAGCTAAATCCACCTTCGGAGAACTCTGGGCTGCGGCGGAGGATTGTCTTTGCGACGGGGGCGCTGGGAAGGCTGAAGTAGTATGTCTGTTAGCTCGATTCTTTTCCCTTGGACAGAGAGCTTTGGAGTTGAATTGAAGAGGGGGAGCTGGGGGCTGTCTCTAAATGCGGGGGTTAAACATACGTCAACCAGAAACCGTATGCCACTGGTGTGGTTTCCAGGGCTGAGCGGAGTGAGATAGAAGACATTATTCAACTAGAGAAGAAGTTGCGTAATATAGATGAAGAGCAGAAGGAGTGTGTTCTCTTTTTAATGTTATGTTCTTTAACGCTGAGGGGACAACTCGGCCTTCCTCCGACCGATTACCCGAGGCCTCCCCACATCATTTGATCGGACAATATTGGAGGAGTGTTGATGCTATATTTCTATTTATGCCATATAGACTATAAAGCATTGGCGTTATCAAATTCTACATAAAATATAATATGAAGTAGGTGAACATCCAAATTGGGAAAGTAAAGCCAATTAGGGCTACTGTGCCCATTTATAGTACCCCACGGGGAATTCCCGTGCTCGGTGGTGGACTCCCCCGAATGCCCGAATGTCTTCTAGTGAAAAGGATATAACAACGACCTTACCCAGGTGGAACAGTCAGCTCATACGCTGAGTATTTTGTATCGCTAATAATGTAGACTTTGTAGTCTTGAACTCGGTCACCATGACGCCACGGCCATTAGACCTAGAAGCAACTCTCTTTTCTCTGACGACCTAGGCAGCTCAGCCATTCGAAACAAAATGCCCAACAAGGGTTTAGTGACACCCTTCCTGGGTGCACTACAAGCCTGTGTTTCCGTGCTATTGACGATGTGCTACGGGTTTGCTGCTCGTCGGCTCCATTTGATCCACGAGACTACGATCAATGACATGCTGGGCTTAGGCGTCAAACTCCTCCTACCGGCACTACTAATTGTGCGTCTGGGCGAACAGCTCCATCTCGGGACAGCGATGAACTATATTCCAGTTATAAGTATATCATGGCGACCTTTAACGAACCCAGCATAACTAACTTATCGCGTCTATCTCCTGTTACTAGTCTGGTCAGTTCTCTATACATCTGCATCGATTGCCCTTGGGCATTCATTATCGCGTCTGCTTAGCCTACCACAATGGGTTACACCGGCTTGCTCGTTCAACAACACTACATCTCTACCCTTGTTACTCCTCCGCTCCCTCCAGAGCGTAGGAAGTCTAAAACTGATCCTGCGCCACGGGGAAACCACATCCTCGGCAATCGACCGTGCTCAGAGTTACTTCCTTGTCTGCGGTGTGATCAGCAAGACCATCGCATACATCGTCGGACCGAAGATGTTGCAAGATCGCGGAGACAGCCTCAGTACCTCAGAGGAGCGACACCGTACCACAAGCATAGCAGAGGACGAACAACTCACCGAAGAAACCTCCCTACTTCCGCAACGCGTCCAACAAGCCCGAACATCAGCCGGGAACCTGGTCCGTCAGTCGACGCACTGGCTGGGTTCATTATTCCCCCACAGAGTCAAGCAGGAACTCCTCGCACCCTTCGAGTCACCATTCGCCGACGTGGCAATAATATGCACTATTCTCGGCACAGTGCTGGGATTAGTGCCTTTATTGCACCGGGCATTCTTCTTTGACGAGGAAGATGGCGGGATATTCAATGCGTGGCTGACTGCAAGTGTCAGCAACCTCGGCGGGCTGTTTACAACGCTGCAGATCTTCATGGTTGGGTGTAAGCTTGGGATCACGTTCGAGCGGATGGTTGCAGATGGGCATTCAGGTGGGATTCCTGTCAAGGCTATCACGACCATCTTTGTCGTTCGTTTGGTGGTTTGGCCGGCGTTGAGCGTTTCGTTGATTTATGGACTGGCTAAGCGGACTCGTCTTCTTGGTGATGATCCAATGCTCTGGTTTAGTATGATGCTGATGCCTGCTGGTCCACCGGCGCTGGTGATTTCCGGGTTAGCGGAATTGTCGCAGGCATCTGAGGTGGAAAAGATGGTTATTGCGAAGACATTGACGGTATGAAGTGATGGTATTACGAAAAGTACGACCTTTCGCTGACTACAACTAGATCATGTATGCGTTGTCACCGTTTGTATGTTTCAGTATCACGGGAGCGCTTAAAGCTTCCGAGGCAGTGTTGAAAGAGAAAGGATGAGGTCTACATGTCACGGAAAATACTTGGGAGTAAGATTTTGATTCGAGAGATCAATTTTATCTCTAGAAACTTGGATTCATTTTGTTTTCGATGGTCAAAAACTTCATTGATTTCATCAAATCATCACCGTATTCATCATCCACCTGCAAAAAGAGTGCTGTAGTATTCGAAGTCGGGAGTCGGGGAGAGAGATGATTTACTTCTAAAGTTAGACAGTTGAGTTAGCCTTTGCACCTCGAAATACCAAACGGGTATCACATACTCCGCAGCTCTTGCAGTCACACTTGTCGCCACAAGAGCAGCTTTGGGCACCGCCGGTACAGCCGCAATTAGATCCGCAACCACAACCCATGATGAAAGATGTGGAATAAGTGGAGAAATGGTAATAGTAATAGTATCTGTCTTGGTATGCTCGTAGGATGATTGGTGAAACTGAAGAGGACCTTGGAGACTGAAGAGTGCAGAATAAGCGGTTTATATATGCGCAGGATTGGCATCATCATAATGGCGTCAGTGGAGAAATCATGAAGTTGGCAAGACGGAAGTCAGGTGATTTGCATCTGAGAACATCCAGTGGTTTTTCCTACCAAATTATGTAATGAAGCTGTAATCACCTGGGCAACTGGGCAGAGTGTAAGTATCATTGACATGCTACTGTATATATAAGACCGGAGGAACGCTCTTGCGGAAAATTGACTCGAGAATGCGGTAAAGCGAAATGTCGTCGAAAAAAGAGAAAAACGGCCCAAGTAGCAAAAAATAGCGAAACAATAAATGAATGAAAAGCGCCCGAAAAGGAGACCATATTGCAACCATTCTATAGCTAATATAGATTTGGCAGGTGGGGATGGTCATGACCCCCATGTTCCTTTCGGAACATTGTTACTCCGATGCTCGGAGGACCTTCCTTAACGAGGGAGCTCCCGCACGGGCCGCTCACAGGAGGCGACTTGTTAAGCCTTCGCCAGTCCACAAGCACATCATCACACACGCGCGACATTGAGCAGCTATCCGACATAATCTTTAGCACAGGCACATCGACACCCACCCATCTCTTTCAGGAACCACTCTCGGATCCGAATTGCCACGAGGGAGTCAATGCCCAAGTTAGCCACGGGCATGTTGTGGTCGAGCTGATCGGGGTCGATCAAGCAAGTTGCCCAGGGCCAGAGCGGAGCAGTTTTTCAGTATGACCAAGCACTCGGCAGGGTCCTTGGCCGCGGCGAGCTGGGCCTTGACGCTGACGGGGCCGACGGCTTGCTCTTGGGCGGAGTCATCTTGCAACTGTTGCTGCGCACTATGGCACGACAGCCGAGGGTCGTCGCGCCACTCGCCCTGGAAGACTGTCCTGAGGCCAGTGATGAGCTCAGCGGCCTGCGAACCAGGGCGTCCAGCAACTATAGCCTCGGCAAGCATCTCGTGCAGGTCTGTCTCTGACTGTCTGTCGAACCGCGGAAGGATGGCCTTGTGAATTGCTCAGAGTCACGCCGGAAAATATATCCGAAGCCTGTCAGGATGGCAATGTGGAGGACGGAGCCAGCCAGGCCATGCGTGTCGCCGCTGGACGAGACTTGCCACGTAGTGGTTCGCAGCAGCGTAGGCAGACTGACCAATGCTTCCGACATAGAACCATAATTTGCTTTTTAGCGCTAATCGTGTCAAGCCCACACCTAAGGGATATAACTACGTCTGAAGGAATACTAATAATTTCGCTACTGTTTCTCTACATATACGTAAGCTCGCTCAGTAGATCCTTGGATCCTTGGAATCTTAGCATGCTTAGTACGGAGTATATATTCCCGAGGTCCACCAGTGAGCTCACCCTCCGCCCGATCTACTAATCTCTGCTGCATTTATCTCACCCAAAACGCCATGAATTAAACAAACTAAATCAGGATCTGCCTGGGCATGCATTTCTCCTATGCCCCTGGATTTTGCATAGCCCGCAGGTTGGTAAAGCCCTAATTCTTGGCTGCAAACGTGCCGAAGGGCTTCCTCGCGGGCGCGACAGGGATGCCTCCATTGCTTCCTGTGCCCTAAATAATGCAGATGCTTCTGCAACTGTGATCCCTTCAGGAGCTATGATCTGCCTTTGGGATCTAGCTCGCTTTTTCTTCTCCCTCTCGTTTTCAGCGCGCAGCTCGTGCACTTCTTTCTCAAGAGAAGCGACAGATTGTAGCATGGCTTGGCAGGCCTTTAAAGTCTCGTTTATGGCGTGATCCAGCGGACTTGCAGGACTTCCTGATCGTGTATGAAGCAATGCTTCAAGTGACGAAGCTTGATTTTGCAATTGCACGTAGCTCGGAGGCAATTTTTGGCTCCGAATCGCTACCCCACGGCGGGGGTAGGGGTTGAAGGACAGTCCTTTCAACCAGATTCGACGACTCCGGAACGATTTTCGGATCTTCACATGTCGGGCTCTCGTAATTATACCGTCCCAAGAACGGGGAGGACAGAAGAGGACGCCGTTTAATGAAGTTCGTAACCCAGTTTTTGCTGACCGAAATAACCGGGGTCGCCATTTCACGGAGCGTACAAGACTGGGGTTTCCTCCACGCTTATCTTGATTCCATTTTTCAAGAGAATCTTCTTCAATTTTTGTCAATCTCCGTGAATCCACGCGAGCACTCGCGCGGCTTTGAACCCCACGGAGGCGCGCCGACAGGGTAGATCTCGGCACGTTAAATTGGCGCGCCACCCCACAAATTGAAGCAGTCTCTTGATTTTCCAAAGCCTGGATAGCTAATAAGATCCTATCCTCTTGCTCTGTTGAATTTCTAGAGCTTTGGGAGCGAATTGGTGGCATGGTGGGTGGTTGAAGCAGAAGGGTTTAAACTAATTGACGCGTTTTAGGTGGAACACAACAAGGCCCAAGGTGACCAGGTTCCAGCTCAGCGGGACCCGTGAATATATGACTAATGACGGGTCCCGTTCAGCTCTTGCACCTGATCGGGTCCTGAAAACCTGCCTTATATAATCAATTTTTAGCGTAGAAATCTTTTATTCACCCCCGTTTCAATGCTTTTACAGAGCTTTTTATAAGCATTCTTT